TTTCTTTCATAAAACCCAATTCTCTGACTTCCATTTTGTGCTTTCTACTGTTTTATACAGTAGAAAGCACTTTTAATATTCAAAAAAATTTGACAACTAATTTTTTTCGGTCAAAAAATGCGAAATCGGTTGTGGAAATTGGTCTTCCAGCGCTTTCAACGATTCACCGATCTTTTCGTCGATTTAAAGTTGAAGATGCTTCATCTCATCGACTTTTTCGTAAATTCTTTGATTTTTTTTGCAATAGATCAAGAAATTTTTAGTTTTAGTTAAAGGATTTTCAAAGCTAAACCTTGTTTTCAGCTCCCATTTGACACCGCATTGAGTGTTCGGAAACAATTGATGGATCGGATAGACGAGGGAATCTCGACATTGGATGTTTATGGAGAAGAAAGTGTTGAGGAGACGAAAGGCTAGGTCTAAAACCGATTCTAAGCCTAAATGTGCTTATATTATGTCAGTGCTCTGATCAGCACTGATATAATAGGAATTTTGGTGACCAAATATTTGTGTTGGTGTAAATTGGTGACTTGAACCATAAGTAAGACTACTGGAATTTTACCAGCACAACGAACAAGTTGAACAATACTTCAACTATATGATTATCGTTAAATCCGATCAAGACAATTAACCAGGATGATATTTTGAAAACACCCCTTACAAGTAGCCAGTGTTTTTGATAAAAAAGCTTTACGGTCTTACTAACTGAAATTACAACGGCGATGCCAAAAAACCGATTTGCAAGCCGGTATCTTTAAATCACAATGCGCAGTTCTTTTTACGCAATTTATTTAACTGTGTGAACTTCAATAAGTATCTCGATACTCTAAATACTTTAATAAAAGCTTCAAACAAGAAAAAATCAACTTCAGCTTGAACTCACAACCGTTAAACCTTGCCGTTCAATGTCACCCCGCTGGATTTCCTGCCAAAATCTTGATCGGATTTCTTCCAGATCTTCGAGATCGAGGGTGCAAATTGGAAATTTCTTTCAATCAATTTTTTTGTTCAAATTTGCAATTTAAATTTCATTTAACTTACCCTAATGTTTCAGTAATCTGATCAAAGATGCAATGTGGATAACATGGATGTCAAAGTTGAGAAATTCGTTATAGGTTTATCTTCAAAAAAGGTTTGGAAATTTCGCTTGTGTAGTGAATTTTCCCAATATTCTACTACAAAATGCCGCAAAAGGTTTGTTGAAATGAACATTCAAAAGTTTGCTCTGGAAGTAGGCATTTTTTAAAAATCGAATCGAGTCGAGTCGGATGACAAATATACTGTATTTTCTCTAATATTAGGGTGTCCGGAATGAAAATACCCTCCACTTCGATTGATATTTTTTCGGTGTAGCGAATAGCTTCGGGTCTAATTTTTGTTTTGTTTTAAAGTCATATATCTTTTCTAATTCTATGCTTTTATAAAAATTTACTGCCTTATAATTTTGCCTTTTTTTAGAATCGAAGATCAGAAGTACCGAATTCGGGTGTGCTTGCTCTACGACTTCAAACAAGGAAAGAGTGTCCGGGAGAGCCATAGTTCAATCTTTAAAATTTTCTAGAAGCTGTTTATTCAGAAGAAGCTTGTAAAAAATGGTTTCAACGATTTAGAGAGGGAGACGAAACTCTATAGGATCGAGGACGTGGCCACCCCCCTCCAGCGCTCAACGATGACGATCTTCGAGAAGCCATAGAAGATGACCCAACCTTGTCGACTCGGGGACTTGCAACAATGTTTGCTGTAGGCCAATTGCGGACCATTTACATCGTTTGGGTAAAGCGAATCTCGTCCGAAAATGGGTACCCATCAACTTAGTGACGCTAATAAAGCTACTCGAGTGACTAGGGCCGGCATTCTTCTTCGTCAATCAAAAAATCGAGGTTTTTGGGACACTATTGTGACGGCCGATGAAAAATGGATTTACTACGATAACCCATCGCGAAAACAGCAGTGGTTAAGTCCAGGAGAACAGCCAAAAAACAACGCCACAACGTGATCCGGATGGAAAAAAGGCTATGTTATCTGTTTGATGGAATTCCCGTGGTCTTATACACTTTGAGGTTCTACCTTCTCTTCCAACAGTCACCTCAGATCTATATGTGCAACAGCTGGAACGAGTAGGCCAGGCATTTTGAAAAATTTAGATTTTGAAAAAAACTTATCAAAAGTGCTTTAACGTGTCTAAAAATCAATAACGTTGCCTCCGCGGCGAAGTGACTGAAAGATTCTTTTCGGCATACTTTGGATAAGCGATTGAGTCAGCGTGGAGGGAATTTGACCCCATTCTCTAATAATTGACGCTTTCAAAGAGTCGATCGTTGTGTATTGTTGTCCTATTTTGTAAATCTTTCGTACAAGATATCCCCAAATGTTCTCGATGGGGTTACAGTCAGGAGAACATGCGATCCACGGTAACAGGGGGACATTTTGTTGTTGAAGGTAGCTGGTGGTCGAAGCGCTTCGATGAATGGAAGCCCCATCATGCATAAAAACATAAGAATTTCCTTGATTTTGTGTTAGAAATGAACTCAGAGATTGGGATAAAACTTGTTGATACTCGATACTATCCATCCTCATTGAGGTGAAGCAAATCTCAAGGGCCCCATCTGCACAAAAAGCTCCCCAGCACATCAGGGATCCTCCGCCAAAATTGCGCTTAGAAAAATACTTTAGTTCTTTTCGTAAATCTCTCCAGTAATGCAGATAGCCGTCTGGTCCGTCAAGGTACCACTTCTTCTTATCGCTGAAGATGATCTAAAGTTTCATTTTGTTTAGATAATCAGAGTTATAAATCTCACTTTTGTCCAATCTCGATTCATTTCACGTTGAGCGAAGTCTAAACGTGCTGTTTTGTGAATATCCTTTAATTTTGGAGCTGGCATCATCTTCATTCTTTGCAGATTAGGATTTTCTTCCGAACTTCGCAGAATCGTTTGTTTTGAAACTTTGAGCCCACACTCAGCGGCTAACTCCTTCGCTGTCTTTGGCGAATTTGAAGCAGCATTTCATAAACGTCGTCGATCTCTTTCAGATAACTTGGTGGATCTACCCATTTTCTTATTGGGACGTTTGTTGTTCATCCTTCCAAATGCTTTTCGAACTCCTGGCTCAGAACGATTAAGTTTCTCTGCAATTTTGTTGAACGTCCAGCCGGCCTTACGGTAAGCCTCAATTTGTGAGATCTCGAGAGCGGAAATCTTTTTCTTCTTGCCTATTTCCTGTAAAATAGATCATTACGCAAAAGTTCAGTATAGAAAAAGAACCAAAAATATTGAAAAAAATTAATTTTTAAAGATAAAATTCCAAACCGTCTAAACTTTTGGAACACCCGGTTTTCGATAAAGTCGATATTTTTTTATTTTCATCAAAGCCAGTGAGCTAAAAGTTTTTTCTTAAACGTTTTTCGGTATTTTACATTAATTTAGATAAAAATAACAAAAAATTTAGTTGCATTTTTTACGGAAACGCCCATTTTGCGCTACCGTCTAAACTTTTGGAACGCACTGTATAAGACCAACACGCAAGTTGGATATTTATTTAAGTTTGTATTGCACGAATCAAAATTAGGCTCATTAAGGCGGCTGGGGACAACAAAATTTTTCCTGTGACGAATGACTTTTTCACCAACAATTATGCGATTCGATTGCAAGAAGTTTCGTTTTTCGGTTACGGGAATGCCATGGTTGATCCATTAAATGACACGGTTTGTTTTGGTTTGGTCCTCAATGAACAATTTATTACGACTCTTACTCCGGTTAATATTTATTGTTTAGATCTTGTTGTATTCAAATCTTTCGATTTTTGAGATTTATTTTCCAAGACGTCCCGGGTGCACTCTTGATGGGATTCTAACGATGCTCCGAGACTGGTACACTTCAGAGCGTCGAATTGATTACATTAACCTTGGAGCACGTGGCGAACGTCAAAATGTGAGCTCTTTTAACTTTCCTATTTTCCTGAAAATAATTTGGATGCGGTTTTTAAAAGAGCTGCAAGATCGACTTAACTATTCTAGTCTAGATAGCCTAGATAATCATTAAAAGCAATTCAAAGCAATTGGTCATTTTCCCGATTTTCCCGGTAATTGTTTCATTTTTAGTTCTTGCGCAATTTACCTGGATTGCTAGTTGAAAAAATGTTCTACTACAAGGGTTGCTGGGAATCTATCCGCGCTTTGGAAAGAGCGAATGGGGACGTCATTAAGCTTGAAGTTTACATTGGTCATGCTCACGGCTATCTTAGGTATGTTTTAGCATGGTTTTTTTCTAACGTATGAAACGCGTTCAATGAAACTATTTATTACAAAATTGTTTTAGGATCGAAATGATTCGACTAGTGCCCGAAAGCTGACTTATATAGGCGGTATGATGACGCTGGTGGTCATGACGATGATGACGTGGATTATCCCTAGATTATGACGTGGATTAATGCACAGTGGATATTTATTCTCTATTTTGAATTAAAGCTGTATTTTGTTCTGTAAATTTGTGATGTATTTTAAAGCTTAAGTTTCGATGTTGGATGTGTGATGGCTCTCTCTTGGAAAGTACCTAGTACTACTAATGTCCAAATTTGAAACTTTTCTCGCACTGAATAAATCCTTTATGATTTCATTGTTCTTGGTGCTTTCCTTTAAGCCGAACTTGTTCAAGTTTTAAATAAACACTAATGAGTTTATGAAAATCGTACCAGTTTTCTTTCTTTCTAAAAGCTGCTCGGAAATTTCCGTATCGATATTTTGAAAGCAACTAAACCAAGCCGGTCTACATGCCACGCACGATCCATTTCGCCGCCTCAGAATCTCCCCAGTTTCCGTGTTCATTTTGATCCAAAGGAACAAATGGGTTTTTTCTTTCACAAGGCAACCAATAGTTCAACTGTGAACTAACTCTTTCCAAACAATTTGTTCTATTCTCTTTTGCAGCAAAATATAGTAATCTTTATTTTGAGATGTTTCGTTTGTTTATTGAATATTTTCTTACAAGTTTATTTCACATTTACAAAAAATAGGACATTTCATTGAGGCGATTGAGTCCCTTCTTGTGGCTTGAGTCGCTAGAAGCCGTGGGCGCCTAAAAAGAAAACTTAACTAAAAGAAAATTTTCCTTGACTGCAACATAACACTAACACATAACATTCAAGTATTAAATAAAATAAGGTACCTGGCATAACGCAGTAGTTCGAATCGAAAATGGTTCCAATTCCAGGCAATTCAACGTGGCCGACGCCTCCTCCCCCACCGCCGACATGAGGACCGTCTAAAATAAATAATGTTCAGGTAAAGAAAGAAATCAAATACCATCAGGGCCCATAGGTGCCGGAGCCATGTTGTTTTCCACAGCCGGATTGACAACCAAATTGACACGCAAAAATGACCGTTTCGTATCAACGAACTCACCTCTAATCCACCCACGTAAGTAACGACTCGAAGCTGGTAGGTTCCTGGCTGAGGTGCCACCGAAAGCTTAGGGTCGAATGAGATGAATATCTCTTGACCACCTTTAAGAGTGGCGACATTTCCATCTCCAAGCCATTGGATGGTCCAGATGTCAAGATAATCGCTTCCTTGCTGATCATAAAGTCCTTCAATCTAAAACAAAACACATTGAAATAATCAAAGAAATTTAAACTTAGGACTTTTAAAAGATCACCACAAAAAAATTTTTGAATTTGAAATTAACAAAGAAAATTTAAAAGTGCTAAAGATTCAAACCAAAACTTTGTCTGAATTTAGATTTGCTTTAATCGCAAAAAACGAACCCTAATGTTCACAGTGACATTGGGAAGCGCCGTGAGCCAAAAGTTTCTACGGCGTCCACACGGGTATACGAGCGTCTAAATTTAAAATTATTCAAACAAAAAAACATGTAAACTGACGAACCGGCATGTTGTGACTGTCCAGCGGGGCCCAGTCCAGGCTCACAGGAGCGAACTTCCAGTAGAAGGGCGAGGCCATTGTTGCAGCGTTCGTGTCTAAACGAAAATTTAGAATGAAAAACTATTGAAACAAAGAAACAATCCTCAGACCAAACCTACTGTTCACCCGATCTTTCGGTCAAAACGGACCTCCCAGGAGATGATCAACAAAAATTGAAAAAAAACTTACTCAAGACGAGACGATTGCGATGAATGATATATTAGCTAAGAAACGTTCGCTTTTATTTGATGATTAAATGGTAATTTCAAAATGGTAATGTATTTGTCCTTCCTTTTTAAGCAGACGATTCAATGCTAATTTTGAAATGGTTGGTTTTAAACGATATCTTAGAGAATATTAAAAAATAAAAAAGTCAAAATTGAGTGGCATTTCGTGGGCATCGAATCGTCTGCTTTGAGGTAAATGCTTGAAATTTAAGTTTTATAACAGTTTCTGGTTGTAGAAAGAACGTTTAAACTATTTTTTGTTTAAAAACTCTATTGGTTTGTAAAAATTGAGTAAGATTGAGAATTTTTAAGATTCCAAGATTGATTTGAATAGCAAAAGAACTTTATTTAGTCTTTTAAAGAGACAATCATGCTTTAAGGGGTTAAATGGATTCTAAAAGCATGTTGTTTTTAGGTGAGTGGATACTTGACGATGGAGCTCAAGATGGCCAATCAGTTGCTTGTTCCATATAAATGTAGTCATGTTATAGTAAAACCTTGCAAATATATTCTAACATATTAGATAGATTGAGCAACATTGTTGAAATAACAAAAAGATCTCTACTTTAACTTTCTTTTAGAATCGAAGGTCTTCGAGCTTGACGATTATCAGTTGCTGATCAATTACCACTTGGTTTCATCAATTTAAGTTTGCTTCTTACTGGCTTTAATTAAACTTTTTTCGCGATTTCGCGAATGGTGGGGACCATTGGATCCTTGTTTGCGAATGCATTTGACCTTCAATCTGGCAAAATACCGTCTCGGTGATGTGCCTGAAGCAACCGCATCACTGCCATACACGAAAAGGAACATTGCAATGGGAGCCATTGAAGCGGGTTGTTTTGCTGGGTTTGATGTGGTAACTTGCTAATTTTCAGTTCATCAAAGATGGCTTGACGAAATATTGGAGTGTGAGAAGCGAAGATGAACAAATCAGTGATGACAGCTTTTTTGCGGCATTCCGATTGGCTAGCTGCACGAATGAAAGAATTGGGAAAGTGAGTAATGCTTTTGGATTTGGATTTTTACCCTTGAAACACTGAAGTTAAATCCATCTAACAATCAGCAGCTAGATTCAGTAATAGATTTGGCTTCAACTACTGTTATGTAGCAAATTGCTATGAAATGATAGATTTAAGCATTTGAAAAGATGAGATCCAGACTAGCAAATTGAATGAAACTATAAATCACTTTTAACTTTTTCTTTAGCTATTGTGTGCAGTGCAGGATTCAACATTTGGGTGCTCATCCGCTGCTTTCTGTTTGCGATCACCCGCTTTGCTACTTTCAGAGAGATCGTTTAAGTACGTTTTTGAATCTAATGCTTTGACGATTGAAGTTCTTCAAAAATGAATGTGAAGCTTTGAAGAAGATCTATCATGAAAATATTGCCCGATTGTATCGATATACAGAAGAAGGGAAAACAGTGGGAATTGTAATGGAATATGGTCAGAAGGGACCACTCAATGGAGGTTGGGATTGGACTGGTATTGTTATATCTTGGAGCTTAGTGGTCCTTGATCCCACAATTACATATTCAATGAACACTGTTCTCACCTGGGGAATCCAATTATTTGATGCCATTGATCACATGTATCAGAAACACAAATTGGTACATCGAGATATCAAACCAGACAAGTAATATTCAGTGGTATAAATGTCGAAGTTTAATCCATTTATAGCATTTTTGTGACCAATGAATACCAGCTGAAGATTGGTGACTTCGGATTGGTAAAAGTAGTGGGAGATGGAACTGCTACGGGGACGTTTATTGGGACACAACGATATATGAGTCCACCTGAAATGAAGGAGGATAGAGTACAACGGGATGTTTTCGAACGAATAAAGGATGCTGATGTATTGGTTTGTCTTACATTCTTTTCTATCCAATGATAAGATATATTCATTCGAGAATACCCATCGAAATGACGTCTACAGTCTGGGACTTGTTATGTGGGAAATCATCGAAAGGAGGTATTCAGGTTGAAATCATGAGCTCCGTTGAGATATTAATAAGATTCCAAAACATCATTTTTTGTTATAGAACCATTTTCATAAACTATGAGGTATCTGGAATGTTTGATCGCGACCAATTATTGATTGATATAGCACTTAAACGTGTTACTGAAATCGAATCACCTGAATGTCAAGCAGAGATTCTAGACGTCATCTTGAGGTTTGGATTCAAGATTTGCTTCAAGTTTTGAAAATCCAACACTCAGATGTACCAATTTTCAACGTATTCCTCGTCCACCAGCTTCTGAAGTTTTGGATTTCCTTGCTCAAACGCAGAAAGTAAGCTCTTCTAAAAGAAGTTGAATTTCTCGTTTATCATTATTTTGGGTTGGAAAGTATTTCCTTTCACTTATTTTACCATAGTAATTACTAAAATTTTCCTGTTTTTTGTAGAATTCTTACGGCTACCAAGTATTAAAGTTTGAGAATCTTTGTGTTAAAATAGCTGAGAACGGCCGGATTGAGGTTCACTTATGTTGACATGGCATGTATCTCCGTGTTCCATCACGAAAGCTCTTCTTTCTTCCAGAATATATATGGGAAACTCAAAAATAGTTAAGCTTAAGATTTCAGCAAATTTCATGTTTAAAACATTGAGAAAAAGACTTCTTGGTGATGATTTTCACGTCGACCTGGGGATAAACATCTCCAAGATAAGCCTTCTCTGAGCGTAAACTTCCTAAACGCCCACTCTCTGGCATGACTATCTTTGGTTTCTATTCTAACTATTTTAATGGTAAAATAGGTAAATAGGAGTAAAGGGAAATTTCTTGGTTCAAACAACGAGTAAAATACTGCAGAAAAGCGAGTTAATTTGTAGAATGACATTTCATACTTGGGTAATTGAACCAAACATAGCCGGCTGTATGCGAGAGAATGGGCGTTTAGGCAGTTTACGATCAGAGAACACTTATTTTGGAGATATTTGTCCGGAGATATAATAGTCCTAAGAATTCTACATACGTAACTAGGAGTAAAAGGAAATTTGCGAAGTTTCATACTTCCCAAACGAATAGTTTAGTAGGTTCCCTTTTTGTTGAAATTCAATACTTCTCAAATATAATAACCTAGGCAAATCAACTTATCTCTTCACTCCCTTTGATGCCCATAGAAGATGAAAACCAAAAAGAACTGATGAAACCGATTGGATTTGATGATAGAAAAGAATGGGTTATGGTTGACTCTGAAGAAAGAAAATATGAAAAGAGATCCGAGGAATATAGATGGGATATCCTGAATATCAATGAAATAATGCGAGATAAACTCGGAACGCTAAATTCTGCTGAAAGAGACAATTTCTATAAAGAAGCACCAAATATTGTTTCAAGATTAAAAGAAGAAACTCAGACATTCAAAGATGCTCGTTATGTGATTGAGGAAATATTAAGGATAGAAAAAAAGAAGGAAAATCTAAAGGAAAAGGATATTTATGAAATATTTGAATTGTTTGTTCTGGTAGATTTTGAAAGACAAACTTCGGGAGAAAACGAGGCTTTCTCATATCTTAAAAGTCACTCGGAGATTTGGATATCAAGTTTTATCAATTGGAGGTTGTGTGAAAGTCGGATTTACAATTTAAAAGAAATAAAAAGAGAGAAATACACAACAAATTTCTATTTTCGATGTTTTATTTCTCAATTGACTGGTGAGGGATGGATTCATATAGAAAAGGAAAGGTTTGTAAGTGAAGACTTCAAATTATGGAAAGAAATACCAGGACAATGGGTAGACAATTCAAGAACTGAAATCCGGAGCTATGAAATTGAAAATGAAGACAAAAAACATGAATTGCTTCATTTCTCCCATTACAAACAAATGTCTCTTGAACGAATAATTGATGCATTAAAAAAGCGACAAAAAAGAATGGAAACGATCATAAAATTAAACCTGAAATATCTGATTCCAATAGAAGATTCGGAGAAGAATAATGTATCATTTAATATTGGAAGGTCTTATGAGCCCCATCCCTTTCCCCACTACATATTCCAATCAAGAAATCCTCCTCGTCCAATTTGTCAAAATAATCATTTAGGAAAATGTCAAATGGATGGGTTTAGAAAATTGAAAGGATGGTCAGCTTTACCTAAAGAATTGCACATTCCAGTATGTGGTGAAATCACGGGAAATGAGGTTTGGTTACTGGACTATTACCTAAATTGCATAGGGTCTAAGATAGATGGGACTTTTGTTCTCGTGGATAACCCATTTCTATTTCTTTGCTGCCAAAATTTCTTAGATATTCCACTTTTGATTCTCTTGGATCATCCAAACAAGTATGAAAATGGGGAAAGTATTCCTGGATTGGATTTAAAGAAGAAACTTCATAAAGTTGACGTTGGATTGTTAAGGGAATACTTTCAAGAGTCAAATCTCAAAGAGAGGGTCTATGCTTTGATCGAAATTGATAGAGATTTGAAGCCCTACATCCGATTTATTGATTATCAAGGCAATCCAAAAACGGATTGCCTTGAGTTTTGGGGAGTGCCGTATTCGGCTTCCTATAGCGAATTCACTAATCAACAGGAGAAGCTAGACTTAGTAGTTGAAGATAAAGAAGTTACTAACAGAGAAATACAAAGAAAAAATGCTTGTTGCTCTGTATCCTAACCTCAGTCTTCCCGACTTGCCAATTTCCAAATTTTTTATTTTTCTAGTCTAATTTTTGAACTCTATCGGCCTTTATGCCACTTGTCTTTTTCGTTGTTTTCGAATGAATCACGTTTTATTCAAATAGAACATTGAAATGCTCCCAAAAACCTCCATAAAACGTATTTTCGGCCCCCTCTCAGTAATAAA